AGTTGATAGAGAAACATTGAATTGAAAGGCTGTCCACCCTCAAGGGTAACGCCCTTATTGATGGCCCGCACACACACACACACAGAAATCTGTGGCTTGATGAGTGCCAAGTGGCCCCAAAGGGATAATAGTCCGAGCCTAACGGATGTGATTTACTCAGTGCTCCCAGACTTTCTCTCTCTTTCTCTCTCTCTGCCTCTTTGCTTCTGTTTTATGGGCTATGCGGCGTATGAGTAATGTTGCTCGATTGACCGCAACGCTGACTTGTTGCCGCGTCAGCGAGTCATAAACTGCTTGTCTGATATTCTCGTTGCTTTCAGAAAGTGCAGAGATGCCTGAAAGGAAAAACTCAGCTCGACGCCAATGACATGTGATTGCGCACGCACCTGACGAATTTAGCTACGTGCAGCGTGAGATAGGATTGCTTGAATTTCAAATTCACAGCAGCGACAGGCTGCCAGGTGTGCTGGGCGTGCTTGTGCATTAAATTCGCGCATCGCCCGAACCCAATTGCACGGAGCCCCGGCCAGAGGCAGTCGCACAGCAAACACACATGACCGTGCTACGGGCGGCACCAAGAACGTGACACATGGCGATGTACTTTTATGCCAATAAGATATCGGCCATTGTCTGCGGCGCGCGTTGCAAGCAAGCCGTGCTGCAAAAGTCGCGTGGATCGCGGGATCGTGACAAGGACAAATGCCGGCGACATCGGCATCGCCATCGCAGCAGACGACGCACCAGCCGCTGCCCAGAGAGCAGCTCCGACAGCGAGACGAGCGCCGATGATGGCTGCTGTGGCCACGACAACGTCCTGGACGATGCCACAGCGCAGCCAGATGTGGGCATTTTTCTGCTCAATGCCAGCAGCGCGAACCCAGAGGCCGCACAGCTCGGCCTCGAGCTGGGCTTCAACAACGAGGGCATGCGTCTGCGGCGTCGCCACAGCGCCGAGCAGCTGAACGCACACGATTTGGAGCTGGGACTGCAGCAGTTCAAGGTGAAAATTGAAATTGAATTGAAATGAGTTTGAATTGATTGTGATTCCGATTCTGATTGGGATTGTGTTTGTGATTGTGATTTGTAGCTCGCAGCAAAGGATGACCCCGTTCAGTATGACGTGCCCAAAAATACGCACAAGCGCAGCCAATGTGATATCAACTTTGAGGTAATCAATTAAAAACAAATTATTGATTTCATGACTTTTACGCAGACTTCTGTTTGCTTCTCTTCGTTCGGCTTGCAGAGCTCTGTTTTGGGTTCCGGCGGCATCATGTATATAAATGGTAAAATCGTTTCCGGCCCACTTGACTCATTCCCCGAGGTGCTCAATCCTAAAAATGTCATGGACTTAGATAAGGTAAGAATTGGGCAGGTATAGAGATTTTAAATAAATAAAATACATTTTATTATTAAGCCTTATCACCTTACAAAATTATTATATTTTTTTTTAAATGTTTGCATATATGTGTTTTATAAATATTTATTTTTATTTACTTATTTAGAATATTGATATTATTTTTATTTATTTTTTTTATATGTTTCATTTTACTTAATTAATTTTTTTTTAAATTAATTAATTCTTTTTTTTTTTTTTTTTTTTTTTTTTTTTTTTTTTTTTTTTTTTTTTTTT